AAAAAAAAAAAAAATAAATAAATATTTAGAAATAAAAAAACTTGTAATTTGTATTTGCTTTTTGAACTTTTCATGTCATGCCTATAATTATTGCCTAATTTTTGCAAAAACTCTAATTTATCAGACTCAAGGTTTGATTCTGAATTAGCCTGTTCTTCATAGCACAAAATAGTTTATATTATATTATATACTTTTTTAGCTATTATGGGTAGAGGAAGTAGTTCTTTATTATCATCATTACTTTTCTGTTCTTGATTATTTTTTTCAGCCTGAACTATAGTGATTATTTCATTATTATTGAGTACCTTTTCTGTAGCAATGGGTTCATCAATAATTTGAATATATCTTTCTATAGTCTGGGCTATTTCAGAGGCTTCAGAATCATTGTTTAATAACAAATAAGAAATAATTTCTGCAACTTCATCATCCTTATTTAAAAACAAATCATCTTCAGATCTTTAATCTACATATTCTACTTCTATTTTACTTGTATCCAGAAAGATTTTTATCACATGTCAGCAATTTTGAATGGTTGTATCGATCATGTTATACTATGAGTCTGCAATAAATTAGATTGCTTGCCTTATATTTAACTTATTCCTATAGAAATTAAAAAATAAATAGATAAAAAATAAATAAATACTATGAATTATAATAAAATCAGATTAAAATGAAATATTAACCTCCTATATCACTAACCTCTAACTCTAACCTCTAAAAAATATACTTCAAAAATTTTATTTTTCAGTGGCTTGTTTATTTTTTATACTACAATATTTTATTTTAATCTGATTTCATTTTAGCCACATAAATAAAAATTTTACTAACTCTTCCAAATCGATATTGAATTCAAATTGCTTAAGAACATGTTTGCAGTAAAGGTTCTTATATTTAGATTTGAATGACTTAATTATTCTAGCATTAATAGTTAAAGTGTATGCAATACCTGACAAGCTATATTGACTTAGTAATGATTTTTAGATCAAAAGTTTTTTTTTACTATAAAATAATCATTGTATTATTTTTTTTCACTTTTAAACCATAAATATCTATACATTAAAAAAAATATTGGTAATTTTGTTAACAGTAAAATAGGGTCTTTCTTTTTTTTTTCTTTTTTGCTATAAATTAGTTTTTTTTTTTTTTTTTTTGCTATAAATTAGTTTGTTTTTTTTTTAAAAAAAAAAACTTTTTTATACATATATATCTTTTCTTTAAAAAGACATGATACATATACACTTTTTCTCAATTTCAAAAAGACCTGATAAAATTTTTTTTACTACAGTCAAACCTCTATAAATGCAATATGTACAAATTAGCCTAAAATATGCATTTAGGGAGATTTGCATTTAGAGGGAGCTAATCAAATTGCAGCTTTAATATTTGATCTGCAAACTTGTGTAACAAACTTAAATACTGACTTCTGATTGGCTACGTGCACTTAGGGAGGTTAGTATCGATATAAAAAATCTTTTGAGTGAATGTGCATTTGCAGAATATAGAACATGTATTTAGCACTAATGATTTCATATAGCCAAGACAAAAATATGTATTTAGGAAGATATTGTATTTATGAAGGTTGCATTTAAGAAGGTCCGACTGTATCATAAAGTATGGTCTGATATTTGTGAAACAATATAAATAAATGATAAAATATTGTTTTATTATACTATTGTTATTCTTTCTAAACTTTACATTTTCTTTACTATACCTTCTGATCATATAGTTAAAAAGACATGAAGCAGACTTAGTAATGCTCAGTATAAAGAAATATGCAAGTATTCTAAAACCTGCCTAATGACTAGGCACCAAGATATTGCCAACAAGTTCGTAAAAAAATATCTCATACTAAATCTTGACAGGTCAACTATTACTAAAATTTTAAACAAAAATGATTAATATCTTTATCTTGAAAAAAATGTTGTAGTACAAAATTGGTACAAGAATAAGCTGCCTAAGTTTCTTTTGTTTGAGATAGTGATGATGATTTAGATAAACCAAGTTATTGCTACTAATATGGTCTTTACAGATAACTTGGTGAAACTAAAGGCTATGAATTTAGTAATCAGCTTGGCATTTCTAAAAATGATCTTAAACTCTCAAATGAAGAGTTATGAACTTTAAGAAATGAAATTTCCTATGCCAATACAGATTTAGTGAAGAAGCTACAAGTATGCAGTTAGAGATTTTAGCAAATGTAAGGATTAAGCTAAGACAACTTCTCTCTCAATATAATATTAAAAACATTTATAATACTAATGAAACCAGGTTATTTTATCAGATACTACCGCATCAAATATTAGCAAGGCAAACAGTTGCTAGTAAAAAACAAATAAAAAATATAGTCATTATTTCTAAATAATATTAGTAATTAATATATATATTACTGTTTTACCTTTAGGATAAATCATGGCTTACTATGTTGTTAGCCTCAGATGCAACTAGTTCTCACAAACTTCAGCTACTAGTTAT